TTTATTGTGGTAATTTGGGCGAATAGCTGTTTATGCATCTCGCACAAATTGGAGGGGGGCGGCATTTGGGCGAATAGCCGTCAATTCTAGTCGCACAAATTTGGGCGAATATACACAACGTTAGAAATAATATGGCTTTAGAAAACTCTAGTCAATGTAAGAGAATTATAAATATCGTTCTGATTTTGAACGGCTTATCCTACAATAAGTTGCGACTATCGCTCTAATATTGTTCGGTCCCTTGCAAGTATATTGCTATTGAAAAAATTAGTTGTGAGTGTAATAAGCCTTTAAAGATGCTTTTTTATAAGATAAGATGACTTCTAGTCGTTTTACGACTGAACACCATTATTTTGTGTTCCAATGAAAAATTTGTAAAATTGCAATTTGCTAAAAGTTATCAAATTTTTGGTACAATCCCAGATTTGGATTCCTCTTGAAAAATTAAAAAGGAAATGTCTTATGCTCAGAGCCGATCAGAGTCGAAAAGGCAAAGTTAATAGAATCCAAAGGGGTAAAAGTGTGCTAAAATGACCAAATTGTCAATTTGGAGGGGAATAACTCCAAATTGAACGTTCGAAGGTTGCGTTTTGTTCGTCTCGGCGAGGTACGACCCTGTGACCCTATGGGTTGAACTGCCGTCAGAATTGACCTCCGACGCACCGTTTGGCCGCCAGAGGCGATTTAACACTTTCTTGAACATTTGAACACAACTCTGCCATTTCGATTCCGATCATCTTTGGGCATAAAACATTTTCGTTTTCTTTCGTCAAGGTGAACCCGCAACTATAGTTACCTTTGCACATTTCTCCCAAACCACTACCCCCGCCCCCTCCAGCTTACGTATGTAAACACGTAAACCATTCCAAATATCACTTTCGTTCCTTCTCATCGGACACTCGCGAAACTTCGCAGGCTAAGGTCCGCAATTCTAAAACTAAAACTAAAACACTCGGTTTGCCTATCTGACATTTTAATCACTGCTGAGAAGGTATTAAAGTCTTCAGGTAAGCCCAGAAGCCACTTGCGCTCCCACTCCCCTCGATTGCCGTGCTACCAACCTACTACCACCAAACTACGAATTCAAATTAAACGATCATTTATTTCAAACATCTTCTATCAAACTTCTAAACTAAACTCGATACGACCGGAATTATACTGATGCTTCGTGCGCAGTTTGAAGTCAATTGAAGTTGCCGTCTTTGAGAAACGTGTGTGATTACAGATAGACAGACAGACAGACAGACAGACAGACACACAACCAAAGAGTTCCCTGCACCTCATGACAGCAAAGGCTTCGCTAACGCTCAGCCAAAAATTGGATTTTTAAAAAATAAAAAACAACGGGTCCAAAAAATGACGTGTTTTGAAAATATGATTTTTATGGTTTTCTAGGGGGTAACTCGTCAAAGTAGAGTTCTTGGGACGAAAATGTTGTCCGTTTTGCTCTAGCTCAAACCGTTAAGGCGCTAGAGCGTATTTTTAACGAAAATAAGCGAAAAAATGTACAACCCTGCATGCTTAGTCGTGGTGATGGGCCGTTGTACCTTTGTGTACATTTTTCCACTACATGTCTCGGGTGTCAGCTCCGCAGGCCAAGGTATATGTATGCCAGGCGCGTCGCAGCGTAACAGTGTTTCGTGAGATATCGCGAGGCCTGTTAGGCGAGATGTCGTCTACCTTGTATTTTATTATATTTACATATATTACATATTTTCTAAGCGGAAGGCAAAATACATTTTTCACCTGATGGCGTACAGAACACTTGCAATTTGCCATGCTAATCACCCGTATAGAGTACATAAGAAATTCGTACACCCAGAATGACGCTTCGACTTAAATTTTCCAGGTGCCTCCCGTTCGGAATTCTTGAAAAGGCACTTCAAGAACCTACCAGCAAATCCACGTCGTTCTAGAAATTGATTTTAATCGGTTTTGGAGGGTGTAAAGTTTGCGAAAAACGAGAAAGTTAGGTGGATTGCCTACCAGCGCCTTAGGGGATTTGTGTGTACTTATAAGGGGGTTGATTTCACCCCCTTCAAGCCAGTTTAAAGATATCCTGATGGTGACAAATTCTTAGTAGAGGCATAAATAGCATCTGTGCAAATTTTGAAAGCTGGGGAAACACTGGTGTTCTCTGTACAAAATACACGTGTTCTTATGGGAAGCACGCCCTCAGAGGCGTCAACACAAGCTGCATGGTGAGCTTTGAATTGCTCTAGAAGTAAAACTAAAAGACATACAGAGCTCCACGAAAGCTCATTCTCTTCGTAAAGGTACGGCCGACAACATTTATAAGGATCGACGTTTCGAAAAACCTGCTCGGAATGGATCTACAGTCGTAAAACCAAACTTTAACTATTTTCACAAAAAGTACGAAACGTTTCATCCGACCTTTGCTCAAAATCTAGACGAGATACTTGAAATCCGACTTCAACGTCGAGTTCCGCACACCTTCCTCTGTCGAATATCTTCTTTACCGCACGAATATCAGACCGGAATATGTACAGGAAGCAATACAAAGGGGCCTAAGTGGTCATTCAACCGCCATTTTGGAAAATGGCCGCCATTTTGAATCCTAAGGGACAAATCGATTGCCTCCACTTGAAAAATCGATCCTTAGGTACCAATGTACAAGTGTGCAAAGTTTCATGCTTCTACGCAAAAGTGCAGTGCGAAATCAGAAATTGTACTTTCCTGCCTCCACTATGACGCCGATGCCCTTGGTGAGGATGCCGGCCTCATAGACGGACACCTCGATGACGATGTGGCCATCGGGAGCCGGAACGTCGTCCATAAACTTCAAGTTGCGGACGCCGATATGCTCCATGGTGAGCAAGTGGCGCAGCAGGCCGACAGACGGCCCCGTCGCGAAGAGCAGCAGAAGCAGACGCGCGTCGCCGCGGGGGGGGGCACCACCTGTTCCTCCAGAGGGTGTATTGACACTTCCGTCGTCTCGGCCCAAAACTGACCCGTGGTCGCATGGGCCATAAGACGAGACAACTCCGTCGCAGCACGCGCGGCGTGGACGGAAGGGCACACAACATACGCGTCATCCCCCGATTCGGACGCATCCCCGGCAGTCTATTATCCCAAATCTATGAAGGGATGCTGGCGCATGAGTATGGCCCATTCTAACCCTAATAGGGGGTGACAGAAAAATACGAGGACACTCATCTGCGAGGCTCATCCATGTACGGGACGTAAGTTCTCGGTCTAATGAAAGATTGAATCTTCCCACCGGTTTTATTGGGTGGTTTGCTGCAGTACATCTGAGCTGTTGCCATTCATTGTAGAAGTGCGTCCTGACCTCAGGAAGGAAGTTTTGGTATCTCTGCTGCATTTTATGAGGAAGTCCCATTGTAGCTGCTAATTTTGCAGCCACATCAGCGTGCTCATTGGGCAGGATGCCTTTATGTGCAGGGACCCAGGCTATCCAGATATCTTTATGCTTTGGTATGTTGCTGATGCTTTCTCTTAACTTGGTGAGTTCAGGAGGTTCATATGGTGAGATATCTCTTCTATGTCGGGCTGCTACTAAGCTTTTACTATCTGTAAGGATTAATATCTTTCTCTGGTTTTCTATTTCAGGTAGATAATTTACTGCAAGCTGTAGCGCCCTAATTTCTGCGTCGTACACTGAAGCTAAACTATGGAGTTTATTTATGATGGCCTTTTCCGGCTCTAATTCTTCTGCTGTTATGGTGTTTTCAGGAGGAAAATCCGCTGATAGCCTGATGGTGAGGTCCCTTGCATCATAATCTACATAATAGCATAAGGGGGGGGGGGCGTGAGACGTGGGATGTGAGGTGGACAGGCATACCAACCAAAATCACGAAAACATTTTAATTTTAGCGCGCCGCAGGCCAAGGTAGACGCACATTTAGCTCAGCTTCACACCGTTTTAACGTGCGTCTACCTTGTCTATTATGCCGTACATTTACAACATATTTCCGTAAATGGAATTTTCTACTGTGCCTCTGCGGAACACCGCAGCCGCGCCCAGGAGCCTCCTCTCTCTCCCGCCCCGCCACGGCGCCAAGCGGGCCGGGCGCCAGAGCGACCAACCAGCATCCCGGTCTGCGGAGGCGGGGGGCGGCGGGGGCCGGCGCTGGGCGGAGCCTCTTGTGGCGGGGGGCGGCGCCGGGGGCGTGGCGCTGCGGGTCTCAAGGCGCTAGGCCCAGAGCGACCCCGGCGGTCCCCCAGGAGAGACGTGCGGTACCGTGCGCACGGGTCAGGTTGAGCAGCTCGCGGCGATACGGGCGCGGCGAACCAGTCCGGTGCGTGCGGACAGTCCGAGTAGTGTTTTATTCATTGTGAACCCCCGAGCCATGGACACCGGCTAGCGGACTAACCGGACATATGTACTTCTCAAGCAGCATGGTTTCCCAGGCGAGACATTCGGCGGTATGTACAGTGCACGAGGGTGGGATAGTCATACCGAGGGTCCGCCACTTCCAAATAAGTGTACAACCAGCTGACGAATTGTCGTGATTTGGGCGCGAGTTGGGATCGACTTTGAGAGTTTTGCGCAGTTTTTCACGAATTTACCGCGAGTGTTGGCGAGTTGGCTAATGGTGGCCTCTCTCGGCCCCTCAAGTTATACTGCAAAAACCTTACGAACGGTTGTGGCTGCTTTGTTATTGCGAACCAATTGCAAACCAATTGCGAGTCAATTGCGGACCGCACCCGGCCGTGGAGAGCTCGGGCACATGTCGAGCGATAGTGCATGCAAGTGTTAATTTGCGTGCGCTGGAAATTTGCAGAATTGCAAACTCGCCAAGGTCATAGGAGCCATCGCGCCTTGCAGGCGAAATGAGTGGGTAAACCCGCAAGGCTGTCAAAAAATGTGTTTAGATTAACAACGGAAGCGTAGTTAATTCTGTTCCAACACCTTTTGACCGAAAACAGGCACTTCTTTCGTTTTGCCTCTGGGAACATGAGGATGTTATTTAACGAGTGTTTTGTTTTGGAAAGAAATGTGTGGATAACAAATTAACAACACTTTTCTTGTACATTCACAGTAAGGAATACAAAGTAATGACTGTTGGCCGATATAGACGAATATCATTAGTTTCGAGAGGGTTTAAATGAAAACAATATTCTTGTTTACAACCAAGACAGTCGTCAAGCAGTCTGTCGTCAGGTGACAATTACATTTTAACAGTGAACGCTGCACACTAGACCCTATACATAACTTTTTTTTTGGTGCAAACACGCAGAATTATAAACAGCCATAAGCTTAAGATTTGTAATCAAGACTTTACAAATCTTCCGTTATGTGACTTAATATTAGTCCGAAGAAATTGTTTGGTTTTCATCATATGACGACTCATTTGTTCCGTAGGCCGAGATGAGTGTTTTCTCACGATATTTATTGTCACCTCACAATAAATTTTTACTGTGTCTGGTTTGGTGCATACACTGAGAAAAATTTTTGGCTGCTGGCACTGGACACTTGTCTAATGCGTCACACTTTGTCCCCGTGGCAAAATATTTAGTTCTGGCCAATGAAAGTTCTGAGGTCTAGCTAAAACGGGGTTTAGCGCCAGGCCAGGCAAAAGCTAGTGCCAATTTTTTTTTACAGAAATGGTCCGCAACTGGGCAAAACCGCGGCGGAAAAATAGCACTTTTGCTATAGTTTTAGTGATATTTGAATACCTTCTCGTTGTATCAAAAATTTAAGAGTCACATCATTTTAAGGGGGCATCCTAGTGTAGCGAGCCTAAAATAGGGATGATTTGCGTAATTAATTGTAGAGAACGCATAGTTCTTAGAACAAAACCGGGTATACCGTTTTGTAGCGCATACTTTTGACTTTAAAACGCAATGTGTATGACGTCGATACGCCTACCCAAAGCTGAGATATCCCCTGTTGAAAACGGCACTGCAGCGTTGTCGTCTTTTCATGGTGTACCGGATTCCGGCCACACCGTTGGGCCGTTGAGGTTCCGATTTTTTGTGGATGATCCTAACTCTTGTAGGTATGGCATGAACTAGGATATCTGGGATCGGTCACCTCCTTCATCCCGAAAAAAAATCAAAACTATAAGAGTTTTAGCTTTTTTTTCGATATGTCAGCTTTAAGCTGCTCGAAAAAATAGTAAAAATCATCCGATCGCAAATATCCTAGTTCATGCCATAACTACGTTCATACAGAGTCTAAAAATTATTTGTTGGACTGTGTGAGACCAACGGCTCGACTTTAAATAGGTACACCATGACAAGACGACAAAGCTGCAGTGCCGTTTTCAACAGGGGATATCTCAACTTTGGGTAGGCGTATCGACGTCATACACATTGCGCTTTAAAGTCAAAATTATGCGCTACAAAACAGCATACCCGGTTTTGTTTTTAAAACTATGGGTTCTCTAAAATTAATTCCGCAAAACACCCTTAGTTTAGACCCGCTACACTAGGATGCCCCCTTAAAGGTAATTTAAAGCCAGAATTTTTGGTGTTCTTTACAACATAATAACGTACATACTTTTAGTTCTACAGTCACACAAACACGCAAAAATTCAGTTCCGTTCGGCGTCCATCCGTCACGCACATTTGAAAGGCTCTAGATTAGGAACACGGCATTGCACAGCGCAGCGCGACATACCACTAAGTTCGTCTGAGAACTACCTATAAGAGGGCTACGTTTAGTATTTTCTCAATGCTGGAAAAAGTACAAAAAAGTGCCAAAAACTAAGAAAAATGAGTGTGACGGACAGACAAGACTGTCGCGGTTTTGCCCATCTACAAACCTAAGACAGACAGGGGTAAATTTGGAGAGGGCAACATGAAGGCAGCCATAGAAGCAGTAAAGGGAGGCCTTTCATTAAGAATTGAAATGTTGAAATTTTATGTTGACTTTAATTTAAGGATGTAACAAGATGTTACATTTAAATGTGCTAAAACTATTAGCAGGTGATATTTTTACTTTTATTTTATGTTGACTTTACTGTGAGTAGCATACCTAACAAAATGTTACTTGGAATTACCAAGGCAGAACTGGGCCATTCTTTTAGTGTTATGGGGTAGGAAGGGGAGGGGGCGGAACATGCTATTTTGGCAATAAACTGCACTATTTTTAGTTGCTGGAGTAAAATTTGATGGCTGTCTCCAAGTGCCCCACGGATGTCTCCAGGTGCCCCAGGGGTGGGGCACCTGGAGACATAGTGCATCCTGCACTCAACACACCACTATATCTAAACCGTTCAAAATTTTTCAACAAACAAAACTGATCCAGTTACTTCTAAGTTAGGGCTTTCACCTCGTCTCTCAAACGCGATCCTAACTTTAAAATCCACTGAGTAGTGGGTGAAAATAGGCGAAATGTCTCCAGGTGCCCCACTCTCCCCTACGAACAATACGTTCGTAATGCAAACCAAAACGTTCGTAGCTTACGAAGGATTTTGAAGCGTTGTACATTACGAACTAATTGTTCGTAAGCTTACGAACAAATAGTTCGTAATGCAAACCGATTGTTCGTAAGACCCTGTCTAGCCTCACAAACAATCGCTTTGCAATACCTTCAATTTGCTTGCAATACAAAGAACGAAAATTGTTTGTAACGTTGCAAAGTAAGTTCGTAAGCTTTTTACAGCGTAGCGTACTACACAGCCACCAGGCACGGAGACCACTGCGCCACAGAGGCGCCTGGTAAAGGGACGGCAGAGCGCACTACTTCTGCAATCGCCTCAGGGAATCGAGTGCATCGTCGCGACTGAGTTGTCTTCCAACGGATCGCTCTGGCCAAGTGGATACCGTACCGGAGCGCGGATCGCATAGTCGGAGGTTCGACTCCCACCGGGTCGGGTAGACCGAAACATCGCCCTAGAGGTCGAAACATCACCCCAGGGAGGGGTCGATCACCGAGGCGGTTCATATTTGTTTGCCCCCCCCCCAATAGCGCACATATTTTATCCCCAAAAAATATCGAAGTGGGTTTGGATTCTGCTTGGCTCCTCAAAGTCTCCGCATTGTCTTCAGGTTGGCTCCGCGATGTCTCCACACTGTTAAAGTCTTACGAAGAAAAATGCCAAATCCTTTGTAATACAAAGGATTTGGACGCTTCGTAGGGAGCAAATTCTTCGTAGGTACGAAGCATTTGGCATTTTGCTTCGTAAGACTTTAACTGTGCATGCTGGCTCCCAGTTGTCTTTGAGATGGCTTTGTACTGGCTCCGAACGGATCTAAAGTGTCTCTGATCCAGAAACGAGGGGTTAGGGGTGGTTGCTGTTGTGGGTCTTGGGGTAAGTGGAGGGGGTGGAAATCACTGCAAGGCGTTACAGGACATCAAAACATTGAGTTGGGGTCACACGGCGACCGAGGGCACTCAGTGCCGTCTTTAAATGACCAACACACAATTCATCAATTTAGGGTGGGTAGAAGGGGTTGGAAGTCCGCGAGGGTGGTTTTGCGGCACGGCACTAGGTCGGCTGTACCTTGGTGAGTACACACGTACGTTTTCAGCCAGATGCGACTTCTCAGTAGGACGCAGGGGAGCGTCACAAAGCAACCTTTGATTCTGAACAGCACTGGAAAGTGTGGTGTCGCGGTATGTTACGCCCTACAACTCGCGAACCGTTCGAAGTGGAGTTCTGCTCTTTTCGGGGACTGTTGATCACACATAAACCTAGAGCGACTGAACCTATTTCGGATCAGCCCCTAATTCGGATCAATAAGACCTACACACGCTCCCTCGCTAAAATGTATGGGTTTTAATTTTTTCGGTGAAAAGGTTTGTCGTTTTCTACCAGAAAATACCATCGCTTCGTCCTAGTGCGGCCCGAGCGGCCCACGCGGCCGAATTGAACATGAACATTCATTGTTTAGGAGGTGGGAGAATGTTGTGGTTTAATCAAATTGACATTACTTGGTATGTACGCACAATTTCGCGTCAACCCATAGGTATCAATCTTTAGTTGAAGGCCCAGAGAACACGTTTCAAACGTGGATTCGATCTAATATCATGTCAGATTAAAACGCGGGTAGAGGTTTAAACGGGTTAAGAGTCACAACTTCTGAAGTCGAGTTTTGCGAGCAGCTTCGATTTTATGCTGGTTGAAACTGTTTTGGTGCTCACTTTTACTTTGTTTTGTCCCAAATTATTTCAAAGGGTTGCTTTAGGATCCGTACTTGGTTATCCAGGACAGTCCAGGACCATATTAGCCAGTTTCACTGCATTTTATGTCGATTTAGTCAAAAATACACTTACATAATCTCGATCTCCCGCAATAGGCATTCCAGCTGATCAAGAATATGACGTCTACTCGTCTTTTTCACTTATTCTACTTTAAGACTACTGCCGAGTGTGTTGCTGGTCGGTTTCTTAATTATTAGTTTCATTTGATCCGAACTAGGTGCACATGCTTATTTCGGATCAGGCAATAATTTACAGACCCTGTGGACTGCACTGTTAAAAATTTTGTTGTAAATCTACAACACATTCGATGTAAAGTTTGATAGCAACAAATGTTGTTAAAAAGCAACACATGTTGTAATCCAACAACGTTCACCAAATTTTATGAGACAAATTTTCATTCCAATACTGTGGTTATTTACTTTTGGCTTGCACCAAAAATTTGCAATATAACAAACTTGTACGTTCTGTAACGATACAGCTTGCTATCAAAATTTACAACGGTTTTGTTGTGGTTTTACAATATGGTGGAAAGAAGGAATTATTTTTATGGACCACTACGAGCAAAATAGAATTTTGCCACGTGCCAATGAAAACGAATGATGTTGTTTTTTAACAAACTAGTCATTACAAAGAGTGTGATTATTTGACAATTTTTTTTAACAGTGTGTGGACCAAAATCTTGATTGCTTCTATCCGACTTCTCTCAGGCTACAAGATGGCAAAATCTCCATCTTGATCCAAAGCTGATCCGAAATAGGTTCATACGCCCCTATTTCGGATCAAAATCAAATCCATACTCAAACTGCCATAACTCCGAAACGAGTGCAGCTACGGACGCCAAAAAAATTGCTAACCTTTAGGTGCCTTCCTGCGCGATTGTTCTAAAACCTGTGCGCGGGAATACAAAAATCTGATCCGAAATAGATTCAGTCGTTCTACCCTTCCAGGGGCGTAGGAACGGGGGGGGAGGGGGCAGGGGGCGCCCCTCCCTCATCGGGCGGGGATTTTGGCGCCCCAATCACCAAAAAATTTTCGCCCTCGCTTCGCTCGCGATGTTTTTCATTACCTCTCTGGAGCCAGGACTTCATGTCATATGCTATGTGCTTCCATCTTAAACATAACAGCTACACTGTTAAAAATTTTGGGGGAGATTTTACAGAAAAAGTCTAGGTATACTTAGTGCCAAGTAAAAGTCTGCTAAAATTACCATAGTCTGTAAAATTACAGACACTTGTAAAAATAACTCCATAAAATTTCTGTAAAACTAATACCAAATATTTTTACGATTGTTTCCTGTAATTTTTACCCACATTATTCTGAGGTAATATATGTAAGAAAAAAATATTTTTGGCGACTGTTTTCTTGTTCTATATATTTCATAATGAAATCGGTGAAAGTGCTGGAACATTCGAACTCTTGTTGGGATCGAACCCCCGACCTCGTGGTCGTAAGCCCGATGCCTTGACCATTGCGCTACGGCGCGCTCCGTGCAGGTAGCCTGTCTGTACTCCATATCTTGCTTCCTACTATACACGCGACTTTACCTCCGGTTAACTGCCCTCTCTCCTGATGTTGGTGAGTGATTATCCACAAAATAGGGTTTCTTTCGCTGTTCGCTGTTTGAATGCACTAGCGTTCAACATTGAACACACTCTGTGGCCAATTTTAACCCTATTTCTTATTCGTTAGAAAAATTACAGAAAGTATCTGTAAAACTATAATTCTGAGTATCTGTAACTTTACTAACACATGTAAAATTACCGGAGTATATGGGGATTTTTAAAAAGGCTTGTAATGTTACAGAGGTTTTTCGTGAAAAAGACCTAAAATCTGTAATTTTACAGGAACTACTAGTTTTATCATAGTATTTCGGTAAAACTAACATGTTCTTTAAAATTATACTACAATTTCTGTACAAGATTACACGAATTACCGGTAAAATCACTAATATTTTTTACAGACGCATCAAACTTCGTCCGCTGCCACTTTCTCGCGCATTTAAACGATAAAGAAGATCTATTGAAAAATCATAGCACATTTTTGTCCGACTCTTTTCGAGAGGAGCGGGAGATAGTTGTTTGCCCCTGTACTTCATAATACACAAGAAAAATTTGGGGGAAAGTGCCTTTAAATAAGGAAAAGTGGAAACGAAACCATGTGTTTGAGACAACCGCAAGAATATATTTTTCGTTAATTGAAAAGCACTTTTTTTGGGGGGGGAGGTGGGGGCGGGGCGCTAGTCGCCGTAAGGGGCGCCAAAAAGGTCGGATAAGCTGCCCCCCCCCTGGCCAAAAATCGTTCCTAAGCCCCTGCTCATCATACTTAGAAACTATGCCCTGTCAAAGAAGTGAGGCTTAAATTTTGCTCACGAGTATTTATTTGGAAAGCTGAACAGAGATGGATTCCATGCCCTCTGTTTGACATTAGCGTTACAAGAGTGGGATGATCGTCTGGAATGTGGTCAGAGATAAGAAACGGTCCTAGCCCGGTCCCACTTTCCGTGCCCGCACTGATGCGGGCCTGCGGGCCCCGGGCCGGTCCTGAGCTCGGGCCTTCCACCCGGGCCCGGGCCCGGCCCTGGACCGAGACCGAACTAAGACCGAGACCACTCTTGCCCGGGTTTGGTTCGCCGGCCAAAGCGGCCTAGCTCTAGTTCCGGTCCCAGTCCAGTCCCAGAACGGACCACGACGAGACGACCGACTGGAAGCGTCTGCCCGCGCCTGCTCGGGCGAACAGACTGCGCCGGACCCTGGGACCGGGTAGAGACCGTTTCTCATCTCTGAATGTGGTACACCTCAGGAACCTAGCTATTGCAAGTGTAACCCTTGTACTAATGTATAACGCTGACGTCTTGCAGGAGGTGGACTGCGGACCTGTATGCGCCGCCCTCGTCAAGCACGAGCCAGCGTATGAGGGTGAGTATCAAAGACCTGTGCGGTCGACAGGGCCGGGGG